TCAATCTTTATGCTCATAAGTCGATCACTTAATCGGTCAACTGCGGCAATCCTGCTCCTTAGGCTTTCTGGGACAGCTATACCTACTCCACTGCGACTGCTGCTTGTGCCGTTGTAGAGAAGCTTATAGCCATCTCCGATATCGCGTGACTTCAAACCCTTCCATTTTGCTATTTGTATGCAGGCTATAATTACTCGCCGTCTTCTCAGGAGATCCGCCAATTCTCGATGTCGTCCAGTGAGGGTTCGGAGATTGATAGTAGCTAATCGGATTGGTTCTGAGTTTTCGAATAGTTGCCTTTGAAGTGCTAGCTTTCTTACCCGTCTCCGCTCTTTGTAAAACGGTGGCCCTAGCCCACTATTCGCACCTGTCGGGCTCGAGTGCGCGTCGCTTCCGGGGGACGCCCCAGCTTTTACTCGATATACTTTATTGGACAATTACTCATTTTGATGCGACGGGATGTTTCTCAGCCGGCTTGTCGCGCACCCTGAGGGTGCTTGAGGCTGGAATCGCAGGCAAGAATTATGTCCCAGAGAGGAATCGAACCCGCGTCCTCAAATGAGATTTTGGAAGGGTAGAGCACTAACCACTCGGCTAACTCTGCCTGCGCTTTTGCCCTTATTGTTTTTATTATAATTTGCTCTGGTTGCCTGCTGCTCCATATAAGCAACCGCTCCGCTTCAACATACTTCCAAAACTATAATTATCTGATGGGGAGTGATAACCTCTTTTCTTTACAGAAGGAACTGACCCTAAAAAATCACGAAGTAACGCCCCCAGATTAGAAAAAAACCAACACATAAGATAAGCTACTTTAACCGCCCAATCTCTAAGTAGACGTATGCAAAATTTGGAATTATCGGTTTAGAAGTAGAGCTTTTTATTCCCTTCAGAAGAAACATGTCTACGTACATACATATATTTACACATTCATACATACATACAAATTCATTCATATGCATTCATCCAGCTCATATATTGAATTAGATTGCATTTGATGTCCACGGAACGATGTGATTACAAAGGAAGAGTTTGAGTTCAAAGGTGCTCCAAAATAGTGGCAGAAACACATTCGATCATCTTACTCATATTCTCCCCCATTTTACCTTCTCGGTTTTTTTGGTCATACTTAATACTTTACAGTAGACATAAACGAGAACTGAACAGAATGAACTTCTCTGAAAACTTATCAGTTGCTCAGTAAAAGTTTACTCGGTAGAGTGCTACATAGAAGCCTATAAATGTACAAAGATTCATAATCAGGAGATAAAACAACAAAAATGCAGGTTTTACCTTGGACGCTACGCAAAAGGTAAAATGGTTTTTGAAATATCATGGATTGTAGCTGATGGAATGAAACAAGAAAAATTTCCTGACACAAAAAATTCCCCATTACTTGTCACTGTATAAATGGATGCCATATATTCTTTACGCATTACTTATTCATAATCTCCG